CCACCCCCCCGACAAGTCGTAGCTCCATCCCATGCTCCGCCTCAGCTGAGCAGCACCTGCCCCAGCTCCACATCTCCCTCATCGTAGGGGCCTTGATCTGTCCCCTGCCCCACCACAACAGACTTACTACCTGGATGCTGCTCTCCAAGCTACCAGGCTGTGCTCCTCACTGCCTACATGCTGCACTGCAGCTGCATGCATGCACGGGCATTTATCAGCCAAATTATTGGCCACATCAGGCCAATTTCTGATACAGTCAATTTTCTTTATATTAGTCCCAATTGGATATCGGACCGATCTATCAGTGGCACCTCTACTTTAAACTGCAAGTGCCCATATATGTAAGCCAATTTAGAATGGCTTAAACTTCCTGGAACTTTTCAAAAGTACTGTTAGATAATCAAGTATTATTTTGAACCGGTGTCATGGTCAGACACTACGCTTTCCATAACTAGTGTTTGGTCTGCATCCCACACTGCACAACTTCTGACTCCTGCCTCCTCCCCCAGCTCCCAAAAACAAAAACTGTCTGCTTTGGTATACAGCCTGAACCCTACTGCCACAACCTATAATAGCTGCACTTGACTCAGTCCTCACCATCCAAGCTAATCAGGGTTAAAGGGATGGCCAGGTAGATAGAGGGGGTACCCCTGTTTCTGGGTTCATGGGGTGCTGGGTGCTCAAGGAGGCTCCCCAGTATCTCCACAACTTTTAAAAAACACTTTCCCCAAAGTGTTTATCAGTTTCATTCCACTGGTGGCAACTAACCAAACTTCAGGGAATCCCAGACTGATTTGGATTGGAAGGCGGGGGGGTGGGAGAGGGGGGGCAGAGGGAGGCTGGCAGGAGCAACGAGAGAAGGCACCCCTGCTTATGCATTCCAGGGGGTCCCTGAAGCTTTTTAAAAGGACTTTTCCCCAAGCCACTGGTCAATTTCAGTCCATGCCTCACAAATGGCATAAAAACCTACAGGCAGCCCCCCAGGCACCCAGCACCACAGGAAGGCAGAAGCAGATATCCAGGCAGCCCTCCCAACTACCAACACCAACTGGCCACTCTTTCAACCCCAAATCAACCTCTGATGCACTGAACCTTGCCATATTGCCAAGAAATGAAGTGTATGTATGACTGGCTTGGGGGAAAGTGCTTTTTAAAACCCATAAAAGCCCTGCCAGTTCCAGAGCACCCAGATCCCAGAACTACAAAGCAAGTGTACTGCCTGTACCCACCTAACTATGCCCTCCCTTTGGCCCACACACACAAGTGGGCACCCCCAATCCAGGCACCACTGCACAGATTTTGTACTGTGTAGGAATGGTCTTTATTGAACTCAGTGCTAGTGAGAAGGGGCATCAGAAAACTGCAACTGCAGATTTTCCTCTCCTGCTTGGAGAATACTGGGGCACTTGCCACTAGGAGACATACTGAGTTGGGTGCTTGCTATAAGGCATACTGGGCTGGGTGCTACCCCCTGGTAGCAGCTTGAAAGCACTACATTCCTAAAAGTTGACTGTTCTACTTAGAACTCTTGGCAGTGTATGTGCAGCCACTAAAATCCAGACAATTGTGAACTGGTTCCCAATGAGTGACACTCTCATAATGGTTCAAGTGTTATGTCTGGCTGCACCCTTACTGTCACATTTAACTGCATCTTTAACCAATTTAATGAATAAATTGTTTAATTCAGTTTGCAGAAAGAGAGGTAACAAGAGAAAATGCAAAGGACAAAACAGACTACTGCTTAAAAAGAAAGATATATTTAAACTAACTTTGTATCCTGCTGCTCCTGGCTAGTGTATGCAAACGCCACAATAGATGTAATTTCTCTTTAATCTGCTGCTGTTTCAGGAGCACTTACAAACTCAAACTTTATATGTAGCATTTTGGTATACACTTTAATTTGACTGAGTAGATGTTAAGACTTTCTCAATGTATAGTCTATCACTGCTTAACTCTGATACCAGAATTAGGATATGATCTCCTCC